TTTGATACATGTTACGGGTGGACTTTTTCCACAACAGAGCAGCACCTTTAACTTATTAGTGATTAGTTTTAACGCATTTATGCGTAGGCATTTGAAACTAAATTAGGCGAACTCACTGTTTTCGCCTACAGTGGTTTTGAGAAATGTATCAGATAGCGCAGATTTTAGGCGACTGTGCTACTAGAATAGCACTTTTATATATAATACAATAAAAGTATTTTTCTGATATCTCCGATGGAATTCTTAGGCAACTATGCTGATAGCATAGTTGCCTAAGAATTCCATCGGAGATTGATGTGTATTACTGACGCTCTCATGGAGCAGTTATGGTAAAAATGAAAATCTGTTCCAATAAACATCTGATATTTCGTTGACGTGTAAGGGAGATAATTGATAACAGATATTTTCCTTACACGTCAGCGAAATATCATCAGCCGGTACAAAGTATTTATTTAACAATCTTAAATTGTATTTCCTTTCTACTATGTCAGGTGGTAGAAAGTAATATTTTAGATCAGGTNCTTAAGCTTAGGCCTAGCCTAAAGGTTTAGCCTGAGGCTTACACTTAAACCTACCCTCAGGTTTAGGCTTAAACTGCCATGTGCTATCCATGCATAGGCTGACGCGTGTTGTGTATGCGTTAAGCCACATCTCTTTCATTTTTGACCTGAACCGCAAGATTACTGGAAGGAAGATAATTCCTAGAAAATTTTGCGATTACGTAGTATCGTATCCGTAGTTTCGCCGCTTCGCCTTGCTCGCATCGCTCGTGAACGACCGTTTCAACTTCTTCTTTCAGGTCGACCAGACACGCTGCGGAGACTGCAGACACGCTGCGAGGGCTGCAGACGCGCCGCGCGGAAGGTCGCCTCAAACAGCCGGCAACCCAAAAGGCTGGTTTTTTTTCAAAATTTATTTTTTAAATGTTTTCAAATTGTTTCTGTGTGCCCCTGTTTCCCACATTAGGTTAAGCATTAGGCTTAGGGGCAAAGTTATACCTGAGTTTTTAGTAATAATTGATAGGAGATTATAGTGCACCTAGGATAGGTAGTAATCATGCCGGATGAGGCATGATGATCCTGAGGACATACGTGGAACGAACCTGAGTAATTGTGATGTGGGCTCAGATTTTGGTTTGGAAAGTTCGCTTGGGGTTATGAGTTTTTAGTAGTGTGAATATTTCACCTACTAGATACTCGTTTCCTCTTGTCGAAGCTTACCCGAATGTGAGCTTATGTTGCAATCAGCTTTGTTCCGCTAATGTCATGTATCAATATTATCATCATTACGTCCGACATTTTTATCACTTCAACTGGGAGCACTATAATCTGGGCATAGGTATAGTACACCTAGAACAGCTAGTGACTATGCCGGGTGAGACTGCGATGATCCTGAGGACATGTGCAGAACTCACCTGCATTGCACTGCGGGCTTAGATTTTGGTTTGGAAAGTTCGCTTGGGGTTGGGAGTTTGTAATGGTGTGGATGGCCCTCATAATGCTAATTGATCATCCTTACGTCTTTACGAAGGATGTGCAGTGGGTGGTTATAATAATAACGCGACATTTCTGTATTCGGGTGATCCCAACCCGGTTGAGATGCCGACAAGAGGGGCTAGAGCGCTCGCAACAGGTGTTCCCCACCTACTGGCAAGCTCGCCGAATCGGGGGGAATTTATTAAAATATTTTAGTGATACCTGCCCGGGTATTACTAAAGTGAATATTTATGGCACGATATGGGCGTTCCCGGCCCAGGAAGCCGCCGATTTGATCGGGGTCTAGGGAGTGCGCATAAGTTGGCCTGAGTAGTGCCTTCGGGCATTTGCTTAGGTAACGGGGGTTCCCGAACTCACTGTGCGTGCTTTCCTAAACAGGGGAGAAATGCTCCGGGTAATCACTCACTGCACATAGCTTTTCGAGAATTAAAAAAAGTGTGATCAAGTGTTATGAGGGTTATGTTCCACCTATTACTCACTCACTTCTTCTTGCCGAAGCTTACCCGAATGTGAGCTTGCTTTGCACTCAGGTTTGTTCCGCCAACGTCATTTGTCAATATTATCATCATTGCATCTGGCATAGTTAATAGTTGGACTAGGGGCACTATAGCTATTAAGTGTGACCCCAAAAAATAATTGTGATAGTTTTTGAGGTTGATCTGAAAAAGAAAAATAATTTCGGTTCAGTGTTTAGAATAAGCCGTTCAATAATTTTATTATTAAATAATTTCATCAAACGTGCTCTCGGGATTAATTTGCCTAGGAGCCATTGGATGGGCTTCGAATTATTGGATGGGACGCTCCAGTCGACTCCGGTTCTGGTCAAATTGTTCGACATCAGGAAATTGTCGAGGGAGAAATCTTCGGTTCTTGTGGCAAAGCGATGGACAAGACAGCGTGGATGGAACGTTTATGACTCATGAACATTCATAACCGACCTACGTCGCTGGTGAACGACGACAAATTAAAAACGCGCTGGAGGAACAACAACAATTCAAACAATAACAATACAAGAACAAACAACAACAAAACGTCGAGGCACAAGGCTGGTTACTTCCATAGCTTTTACTGTTAATATTGAATAATTTCATCGACAGTGCTGTCGGCATTGATTTTTCCAGGGACCATTAGATTAGGCTTACGAATTATGGGACGATGGAGTCGACTATCTGGATTCTATCGACGCATCCGACTACCCACCGATGAACAAGCTCATCGGTGGGTAGTCGGATGCGTCGATAGAATCCAGAAGATCATTCGTCGCCAGAAGATGGTCGAGTTCGGTGGTTATTTACGAAGCGGATGGGTGATAGCAAAGTGGCCGATTAAGGATGGTAGCGAAGTGGCCGTATCAGATGGATGCAAGGAATCTACTGTGCAAAGGTATGTACAACAAATCATAACAAATAATTAATTGCTTTCTCTCAACGAAATTGATGACAGATATCAGATTTGATTCTTAAACTTTTGTGGGCAGATTTCATTCCAGGATAATGTCTATAATGACATCTGTCATTGCTGAATCAATTCGATGTTCATTGTTCATTATATCAGTGATATCAATATTGAAATTTTAGTTTAATGCTATGGTTAAATTTGTATTAGGAAAGAGAATTTTAATAATTTGAACAAGCCGATGGATGGGACGCAACAGTGTGGATGGAGCGGCGCTTGGATATCTTCATCAACGTCCACCACTTTGTTAGTAGTCATTATTGTTGACAACTAACTTATTAACTAACATTGTATTTGTTGAATTTTAATGTATTTATTAATATGCCAACATTTTGTTTTTATCATTTGTCAATACGTAACAAATGTTTTTATATTATTGTTTTTGCGCAATATTGTTGTCATATATTGTTGCACTGCATTGCGTTATTTGCCGCATTTGTTTTTCTTATGTATTCGTTTATTCCGCATGTCTTGTCAGTCTTTATGCGCGTTGACTCATATACATTATTCGACCAACAAAAGTGGCGCTGTTTCGGAGTACTTTATGAAAATCTTTGCGATGGTTTTTGCATTTCTTTTGCGTTCGCGCAGCGTAATTGAATTGAGTACTTTTGAATTTCAAGTTGCAAAAAATATTTCCATTAAACTTTCACTAAAATTGCGAAGTAGAATTTGAGAAAAAAAAATTGAAGAGGAATCAATTTGAAAAAAATTATGTTGGCGAATGATGTGTCTCCTTTGCATTATTCTTGTTTTGGTCTGAAGGTCTGAAAATTTTCTTGCTTGCAGTCTCCATATTGCGGAATGTTGTCTTCATAATATTTTGGTGAAATAAGTACTTATCATCTTTTGCTCTGAAACACTGATCATACTGTCCAGTTTTTTTTTCAATTTATTATTATCTAATAAAGAGATCTAANATCTTTTGCTCTGAAACACTGATCATACTGTCCAGTTTTTTTTTTCAATTTATTATTATCTAATAAAGAGATCTAACACAACTTTTTTATTGGGAAGTTTGTGAATTTTTTTTAAAATCTTCGCATCTGTGAATCTGTTCGCACCACAGATTCCGTGGGTAAAGTATCGCTACGCAGCAAGAGATGCTGTCACTAAAGTGAGAAGTATAAATGCAATTCCATGTATATTCATTCCTTTGGTGGAATTTGCGTTGACTATTATTAGAATATGTAATCACCACCGTCAACAAGTTATCATCACAATATTGTTGCTATGCTTCGATGAAGACACAGCGAATAGAATGATTGAAGAGTAAAGGTTTATGAGGATGCGGCAGATAGGTATGGATGAGGTACGCATACTGGATTAGCTTTTCGCAGCAGTTATGAAGTGTTCAAACAGTTAATTGGTAGTCATTCGTGCGAACTTGGAGAGTCTGTTGACTCTAATTATTCATTTGAATTGTTTGAGCTTGAGAACTTTATGAGAGCTGCACATCGCCTCTGGTTACTTGGTTAGTCATTGTTTTGAAAGCTTACTCTGACGTGATAGTTGTTGTTGATTTTGCAGTCGTGGAGGTTTATTTTGTTTGTTTTTTTTATTTTATTTTGGTGGTTGAATGGGATGTTTGGAAATGCACATAGATGTACACATTCAGATGGAAACTTGGGTTGTCTGGAAATTGCGTTCAGTATGTGCAGCTTTGTCGATGGAAAAAACGTATTGAATTCTGAACATATTGGAAGAAATGCTCATTTCATTTCGTTATGCTGGGAAAGAAC